ACGGGAAACAGTAGCCATGACATGTCAATCAAGACAAACTTATGCCACCAAATACTGTTCATTGTCCTACCTGTCAGTGTACAGCATGAGCGATGGAGTTGCCATCCTGCTCTGTTAATGCAATTACAAAACAGAGAAACAAGAGCCTGGAGTCTAAGCTTCAAAAGACGATAAGAGGAACAGAAAAATAGCAAAAACCCTGTGGTTAAACTCAAAGATCAGCAAGTCCACTGCATTTACGGCTTTTACTACAGAGTGTAAAAAAAACCCTACACAGCCACTTTGTTCAGGCAGAGTGGAAAGGAGGGAGCTGCTCTCTCCTCTGTGTCCCCACCTCCTCAGTCACAAGGCTGACTTCTAAACAAATGGGATGTAAGGAACAGGAGGAGAAGCAGGAATCTGAAGGGCAATCAGTAAATGAGTAACTTTTACTTGTGACGAATGAATAAAAACAGGGATGACGAGTTGAGTTTGAGGGAGTGCCAATTTAACACCTGATGTTACCTCATTAACTGATTAATTCAGTCAGTAAACATTTTGAGTGTGTTTGGAACTTTGATTCAATTTGAGCAAAACCAGAGCAGGCAGTGGATCATTTCATTCCCGTCATCCTACCCATCTAATAACTACAACCAAAACAAAATGTAAACTCGTGGTTTTGACTCAAATGCATCTTTCCTGAAATGTATATCGGGAAAGATGCATTCAGCAGAGAGGAATAGTACATTTCTTGCAAGTCAAACAGAATACGGAAATTCCAGGTTTGGCTTCAGTTCCTAAAAGAAATAAAGCGTCTGAAAATTAAAATAGAGTCTCTGCTCCACTGATCAGAGCATCTCTTCTTACATTCAAGTAAAACCTCCAGGCACCGATGAAAAGAGGATTTAAACCAAGGTCATCTCAAATCATCACATTTTTGGCAGCTTTCATTACAGAAACAAAAAACGGGCTACTTTCAGCTGCTCTATTACAACAGCGGGCAGCTCCACATGTTTGATTTGGCAGAGTCTTGCACCAGATGCCAAATATGAAATGATTCACACACTAAATCGATGAAATGTTACATGTCGGTAGCAGAGTAGATCTGGGTTAGAGGAAGAAAGAATGAGACCATGCGATCTGACACACGTGGCAATGGCACCAGCAGCCTCAAGCTAAAAGCGGTCTCGGTTGAGATTACACTTTTTCAAAACTCAATGCACACAACAATCTCTGCAGCATCTGTAGTGCTAAATGCAAAGCTATCCATGACAACACAATTGATCTGAAATAAAAGCCTGGTCAAATACAAAAAGAAATCTTGGTAGACTAAAAGCCCAAAAGCGTTCCTCAGAACGTGTGCAAAAACCTGAAAGTCAAATGAAAGTAACTTTAGCATGTCTGTTGCCAGCTTATAAGAAGTTGAACCCGAGTATGATGATGAAACTTTTAGTGAGAGAATTAAAAACCTCATTAGCATTTTCTTCAGGTAATTAAGTCGTTGGATATGTTCTTGTTGGCTGGCGTTTTTTAACTTCGTTACTTACTACGAGGACTACGGTCACCATTCTGCTGCCTTTTCTGTGCACTTAACCCTCTAACTTCATCTTAAATAGTCTTAGTAAACTGCTGTTCCCCTAAGGTGCTTTATCTGTAACATGCACGAGGAGGAGGAAGAGGAAGGAACACCACACCTTTAGCTGCACACATTCAGAAATGGGAAGTAGCCCATTAGATGCAATGTCATGACAGTATCGTCTTCACAAACAGAGAAGCAGTGCACACTCTCTCAGGACAAGTTATGCTTTTAAGGACTTTCCCTGCCAGAAAACAGAAAATTCCTCAGGATCTGAGATACTGGGTTGGGATGCACATATCTGATAGTCGTATATAAGGGGAGAGAGTGCTTTGAATTAACACAAATATGCTCCGCTGCAGGCCTCTAAAAATTCCAACTGCACATTTGGGTCATGCTGTGCATTTGTTGAATATTGAAGCAAACCCCCCCTAAAAAAAGAAAACCCCAAAGATCCAAAAACACAGTATGAAGAGTACAAATAGGAGTCGCTAACATCAGCACAAACAACAGTGGTCAACAGACCAGTTGTATGTAACACATCTTTTTGACACTGGCCCCATCTGAAAGCAGCAACGTGCTACCACCACTGAAACTTCATAACTTCTACATGAAACAGCACAGAGGAAGCTGTGGGTCAGTCGTTTGAAGGCATTTCACAGTCTCTTTGCAGTAATTCATGTAATTAATAGCAAACTATAGTCAAGTGAGTTAACATGAGCCAGAAGCTCCAAAAACAGCACTTTCCTTGTTGGCTGCTCTCTCCCCCCTTTTCTCTTTATGTTCGTTTTAGCACTTGTGAAGCTTTTACTGCACCTACAGTAGAATATGGAGTTTCTTGTTAGACACACTCTGCACGTGTGTAGCTCTAAGAGCAATGCTTGGTGCTGAGAAACTACTATGAACATAAATTAGAGCAGCAAATTCTCACTGAGCTTAAATTAAATGTGTTTTGTTCACCATGGTTTTGTTATTGTGTATTGTTTTACCAACAAATACAACTTCAGCACATACATGAATGAACTTTAGATTTGTGTTATAAGGGTGGGATCAGTAATAACTGGTCTAACTAACTGGTCCATTTGTACAACTGAAACACGATGTGCTGGGAGCTGGTGTCAAAAGGTGTGAATAACAAGCAAACCAGGCTTTACCAGGGTGTTCATATACTAGTCTGTATCTTAAACACAAGAGACAACATGTAAGTGGTAGCTAGGTCGCTGCTGTGCTTTAAAGCTGCTATGCGACTCCTGCTTGGCCATGATTTGGATAAGCAGAGGTCAGGGTCATGACCTTTTATGTTCTGGGTGAGCTGCAATTTCCAAGAGTGTTGGAATGGGTCACAGCGATATTTTGCTTAATGCATGTTTGTGAAGCAATCTTAAGCATACAAATTCTGCAAGTCAAAGAGGAATGTAGTAATATCTCACTAAGGCTGGCTACAATGCTGCTTTTTGTTTTTCTTCTTCTATTTCTGCCCTATTATGGCCTCATAACATTTGTGATAGATCAATATTTCTGCCCACATATTTCATTATACTCCAGCATGGTGCAAAGATCTTGAAGAAAGCAGCCCTTAATTTGTAGTTTACATCCAAAGAGACAGGCTCTTTAGATTTATTTTTTTTGAGTGTTCTTGGACATCAGTTCTTCAGGCTGTCTGGAGGTCTTTTAAAGTTTTTCTTTGGACAACTGCTGCTTTTTCATAAAACAAAAGGCAGCCAATATCCAAAAAGGAGCTCTACGAATGTCCCTCC